CATTTCCCCAGTTGTAGGCCCTAATATACAGAGCTGTACCCTCTTCCCACAGAAGCTTGAGACCCTCTCCACAATAAGTGCCCCTTTTGAGGCCTTTAGACTGATTCAGAGTCCAGTAGGACTCTACTTAGGTCAGCCCTGGTTCTTGTGGACTGCCTAAAAGGCATTGCTGTAAGGAGTTGCCTCAGCTGAACATGTCCTTTCTTTCCCCCCACAGACATAACCAGTGCGGTGCAATCCAAGCGAAGAAAATCCAAGTAAACATGCTGGACGGCAACTTGATACTTGTAAATGTGTGTGAATTTTACAAAAAGCAATTTTGAGCTGTGACTTTTTAAAATCCATTTCTGTACAGTTAGTCATTTTAATAATATGGCCGTTTTCCTAGTCCCTGCAACCTGTTTCGTAAAGTGCAATGGGGAAAGCAGAGTTGTTGAGCCCTTTTGGTGTTACAAGATGAAGTTCAAGGTTTCTAAAATGTTGCCATGTATTGAGAGCTAATGAGATTATGTTATTAGTTTTCACGTTTCCTAAGCAGCCTAGAGTACAGGGTGAGCATTTTTAGATCTTCTAATGATGTATTGTGCTGTGGAAGTACTGTGTGTGAATAGCAGTAGGGGGGCAAAAGGAATCTTCTCATTTGGAAACATTGTAAATAATTTTATTATATAGTGTTTTGGATGTATTTGTTGTAGAAACGGACCAGTGAATAAAGAGAATCTAAGGGTTTGTACAATGTGAAATACTGAATGTGTTAAATAAATGTCATTGTCCTAGAACATAAACGTTATGTTATTGGTCAGGGATTATGGGTGAGCAAGCTCTTTCTTTGGACCATAAATGAATAGGAACAGCCTTCTTTGTGAATTAGAATCCCATCTTGTCCTCATTGCACCTGAGATGCACCTGGCAAGTTGAGAAAAATGCACATATTTGCTCACTCAACTCATTCTCAGCTTTGAAGAAACTAGCCCTTTTCAGCACTGTACCAGGCACTTTGATATATGTTGGTCAAATTTCCTGTGGTTGCATATAACAGAATCAACTTAGAGAGGATCAAAGGCCACCCAGGGACAGGAAGCCATCAGCAACCCAGATAGCACTTTTTCTCCACCTCATACATCTGCTTCTCCATGGACATGACGGATTACTCCAAAACAACTGTGTTACACCTCCTCCATCCAAGAGATAAGCCGAGACTGACCAGCAGGACTCTTAGTAACAGCATCAAGAATCTAGCCCAGTTTAGGTCAGTTTTCTACCTTCAGTCCAGTTCTGTGGTTAGAGGGGGCAGTTCCCAAATAGCAGCAGTCATTTGGTGTTATATACTTCAAAGATGTCCACTCCATTCCACTCTTTGGCTGCCCTGTTTGTCATCTGCATCAGGCTTAGGGGTGACTTCTCATCAACATGCCCAGGTTTTACCCTTTCCTGGATCAATTCTTACCTAAAAATTTGTAGTCTCCAAACCAGCTGCTTCTGCCCCCACCCTACCCCTCACCTTCAGAGGACTCCAGTACTTAGGGCCCTGTCTTGGTCTGGGCCTCAGCTTTCTGCTGCATCTTCTACAGCTAGACATATACTCCACCCCTTCCCCTGCAGTGGCTCCTTGCCCTTGCCATAACCCAGTGCCTGAGACAAAAAGGATGAGTCGGTGATTCTGTGTCATGTTCTTTTCCTCATCTCTATTTCAGCTGTGTTAATATATATGTGTCTTATAATATAAGGATCCTCTAAAAATAGTTATTTATGAGTCAGACCCTACATTGTCTGGCTTTGTTCCCAGCAAGCTTATCTACCCTCTTCCTTCCCTGCATGACACACACAACCAGAACCAAAGCCAACCTAATAATACCCTATGCCAATACTGTGCTTGAGATTGCAGAGTGCTTCTACTTCAGCTCTACTCAGACAGAAAGCACAATGTGCTTTAAATAGATTTTTATTTTTCTTTATATTAAATTTTTTTCTCCCATAGAGGAATAACATTACAATCTAACAATGAGAAGCCTGTTACACACATACACAGGCAGGCCACATGACCAGGTTGAGGTGGTTGTGTCCTTGAGCCTGTTGACACATCACAACATGGTCAACCAGAATCTCCTCATTTCAGCCAATCTCAACACAAAACACCCAAGAGGGATGCACTCAACTTGTTGGTTCCATTTGGAACTAGGTGGCAGGGCAAGAGGGAAGATAAAAGGGGCTAAGGTGTCTCTGCATTCGGTCCCCTCACATAAAGCCACATGGATCTGAGGAGTCATCCAAGAGCTCTGGTGGGGTCCTTGTTGCACCTAAGACATTATGAGTCAGAGCAAATTGATCAGGGTTCCAGGCGGGGTCTGGGGAGCAGGCATACTCCAAAACAGCAGCAAACTGCATTCATACACACGTGGTACCCTGCTGGGGCCAGACTGGCAAAGGCTGAATAGTGACACCCAGCTTGAAGAGAGCACTCAGACAGATTGGGGAATTACTGGAAGTTGCCCTTTGTTATAATTGGGACTCACTCTAAAAACAGGAGTCCCTCTGACATACTCAGTTTTGGCAAAGTGCTGGTAGTATTGACATTAATTAATACAAACTGGAACAAACTTCTCCAGGGTCTCTGAAAACATCAGTCAAGACAGACTCTCTAACCCCCTCCTGTCTAAGGTTGCATAGGACTTTGTGAATTCTGGTTCCCTCATGTATTCAAGTTCTGTGGTTTAAAATAAATCCTGAAGCATGCTAAAGGTGAAAGGCACATACACAGTCAAAACAGTATGATGAGGTCTGATGCTTCAGGAGTCAGACTAGCTGGAGACTGAGTAGTGTTGGTTCTTAGAAATCTATACACAATTAAAATATTGCCACACTCAGTGCTACAGAATCTATAGGAAAGTACAAAAACAGATGAGCCTTGCAACTAGCCAGGTGATGTGATTGGAGAGTTCTAGAACTACAGGAGCCTCTAGAAATATGGGTAAGGGAGGGGCCTTCTGAAATTTGAGCCGAATGCCCTATATCTCACTCTTGCCCCACCAGAAAGATCATGGGCACTGCCCAGGACTGAGCCTAGGCCCCAGCTGGCAGCGAAGGAGTAGGCAGGAAGAATTGGAGGGAGTTTCAGCTTTTGGAAGTGCTGAAGACCCTAAGCTGGCTGTGAAGTGACCAAGGGGCAGCTGGAAGAATAAAAGTGACTAGGTCCTAGCTGAAGGAGAACCTTAGGGAGAGGACAAGGTTGTCAGCTACGGGGGCCCTAGTGGACTGGCATGGGGACTTTGATCTGCTTTTAGTGTAAATCTGGCTTACTCCCTTGGATAGGAGACTCCAACAGGGCTTCCTCTCTCCCCATCCCAGCATTCATGGGGCTACTCCCTCCCTTGCCCACACACCCCACATGAGGCTTGGGGCTATAGGGTCAGGGAGGGCAGCTGCCTTTACCCTCATGGGATTGCAGAGTTTTCTCCAAGCCTCAGCTTGGCTGTGAGGCCTGGAAACCTGGACTTGGGGTAAGGGGGAAGACCTATGTTAGTATGTAACAGGAAATCTTAAAAGTTTCAAGGAAGAAAGAGCACACACTAGAAAAAGACAGTTAGAAAGAGGAAAAAGCAATTCGGGGCACCCCAGGAGGCTGTTGCTGGTGTCTGAGCCCAAAATTCAGTCTCACCACAAGAAAGGGAAAGCTGGCTGCCCCTGTCCCCTCTGTCTCACCCAGGGATTCAGGTTCCCTCCTCCAGGTACTTACTGGAAGAGAAGGGGAGGGGAACGATAAGGTACCCATTTCTCCCACAGCCTAGAAAGGAAGAGAGCCCAGGGGGACAAAATGAGGAGAGGCCCCCTGAAGGCCCTGAACCTGGATACGGACTATTTGGGACAGTGGGGCTCCAGGCCTCCTACCCAGGAATGTTTATTAGCCATCCTGGGCAGGGTGTGAAATACAAGGCCAGAGGCAAGATGAAGGCTGAGCTGTCAGTCTCGGGATGGCTTCACCCCCACAGCATCATTCCTCTACATTCTTATTCTGGGGTATGCACATCCCCTGCCTAGAAGCCCTCTGACCTGCATCTCTCCTAAGCTAGTTCTAGCACCTTGGGCATGTGAACAGATGGCTGGGATAGCAGGGCCTTGCCCAGCCTCTACTCCTGGGATGACATGTTGGGGTAGGGCGGCAAGGTACTAACTAAGCCCTTCAGACTTGGGGGCCTGCAGAAGGTTGGGTTTCAGGAAGAGATTTGGGAGGTAGAATTATAGGAAAGGGAAGCGGGGGAAAACTCCAGGCTTTAGCCTGAGAGCAGGGCTTGGCATCTCAGAGCAAGCACAGTGCAAGCTCCCATGGTGCCCTGTTCCCTACAGCATCTCAACCTGTCTTGTCCTGTCTACATCTCGGGTAGGCTGCCTCTTTCCCTTGATTCCCTCCACCTTCCCCCTCTAACTCACATCTCACAGTCATCTTCCACATACTTTACCTTTCCATGCCTAAGCAACTCCAAGGAGCCCAGCCCCCAGGGGAGAGGGAAGGGGGAGACTAAAGGCAGAACCCTTTAGTCTCAGCGCTCCCCCCCACCCATCCATTTGGGAGGGAATTACTGGGAATGAATAATAAGGGAGCAGGAATGAGTGTAGTGCCAAACATGAGATAGGGTGAGGCTCATAAAGTGGGAGTTGAAGGTGGGGAAGGAGCCATATTTGGGACTGGAAGAAGAGACTCTCAGAAACAGGAGTGGGCCAGAGGTAGAGGACTGGAGGGCAAGGATGAAGGGGAATGTCAGGGCAGAGATCGGGATGCAGGGGAAATGGAGGATTAGATGCTGGATATGGTGGCCGGAGGAGGGAGGGGGAAGGGCGCGAGGGGGTTCAGAGGCGGATTAGAGGATAAGAGATGGGGAAATTTAGGGAGGGGGGGAGGGGGGGCTATCACCCCACCTCACACACTTAAGAAGGAGGGAGGTTGTGGTGTCCAGCCTGAGGCGGGCCTCGGGCGCCCCTCGAGCAGCACACCGGCTGCGGCGGAGGGGCCCGACAGGGGTCAGGTGTCGGCGAGGGGTTTGTGGTGCGGCCGGCGGACGCTCAGTAGTTGAACTGGCGCTGGCACGGCTGGTAGACGAAGCTGCCCTGGTGCTTGGGCCGGCGCGGACGGCTCTCGCGGGCGCGGTTCTGCCGTTGCACCACCTTGGCGCTCAACGCGTGGCGCTCGGCCCGCTGCCGGGCCCGCTGCAGCCGCCGCGCCTGGCCCGCCTTCTCCAGCAGTGCAGCCCGCGCCGGCAGAGGGGCGGCAGCGTGGTGCAGGGCCCGGGGCTCGCGGCGGGCGGGCGCCAACTCCCTGCGGGGACAGAGCAGGGCTCGGTTAGGGCCGGACAAGTCAAGGGGCGGAGCTGACTTCATAGGGGGGGTCCCAATGCTCTTTGTTGTAGCCCCTGTGACAGATAAACCGGATCCCTGGGAAGGCTCAGCTCCAACCTCTAATTTAGCTCATGTCTTCTGTACAAGCCTCTAGAAACCCCACCCCGGGAAACTCTGGCTTCACTCCTCCAGCCTCCAAACCCATCCCAAGCCTCTTAGCTGCGTCTCTCCCAAGCCCCGCCCCAGCCACGAAGCCACGCCTCTCACTATCTCAAAGACCTGCCCCATTGCCCTCAGTCCCCCTCCTAGCCTCGTCCGGGGCCATAGGCCCGCCCTTTGCCACTAAGACACGCCCCTAAGGGTCCCGCCCCCTCAGTGTTGGGCTGGCCCCTGGGCTCGCTCCTCCAGCCTCCTGGCCTGGACCCTTGCCTCCGAGATACCGAGATACCGCCTCTCTAGGCCTCCAGGCTCCGCCCCCGGCCCGCTCACCCATCGCTAAGGTCACCGTCAGGCAGGGCAGCGTCGGGGTGCGGGGAAGGGGGCCCAGGTTCCAGCACTATGGTGCTGCCGGTGACGTAAACGGACATGCTGGGGTGCTCGATGAGGAGGTCCTCCAGGGGGCTGCTCTGGAGGCGGGCGGGCCCGAGTCCCGGCCCCTCTGCAGTAAAACAGGCGGGAGGGGTAACAAACCAGCTCTCGTCCATCAAGGAGGGCGCGGGCGGAGGGCGGCCTGCGGGGGCAGGGGCGGCCCCGGGGCTGGGTGGAGCCGCGTAGCTATCTATGGGGCGCGGGAGGGGGAGCCATGCGGAGGAGGGGGCGCAGCGGGGAAGGACACACACACACACCGGACACAGGGGAGCGGGGAGAGAAAGGGTATCGTTAGTCAGACTCGCAGCCCTGCCCGCCGCGCCCACGGGGCACCCACAGGCCAGGAGTCTCGACCTGCTGCCTTAGGGCACGTGAGGTGTGGGTCCAACACTGCGCCGCCCGGAGATCCCCCGGCTTGCATGGGATGAGGCCCTGTTACCCCACCTCCAGTGTCACTGCCTCAGGCCCAGTTTACCCAGTAGGCCTGGGGGAACTCCCCAATCCCCTAACGGCTCCCTTCCACTCAGCTGCTAGGCCACCTGCCCTTACGAAGACTTCACAGGCCCAGGAGTCAGACTCCTGGCCACCGACTCGGGCCTCACCCGGCAGATCAATGATGAGCCAGCCATCCACTTCATCCTCCTCAGAGACGTAGGCTCGGGGGCAGTCGGGGTCCTCAGTGGGCGGGGGGTTGCTGAAGAAGAGGCTGGTGAGACGCTGGAACATGGTGGGGGAGTGAAGCCGCCTCAGGGGGGCGCCCTATGGCAGTGCAGAAACCTGGGAGGCGTAAAGAGGATTCAGAGCCACCCCTGACTAGAAGTCTACCCCACTCCTGGCTTGGGATACCACCCCCAGCCCCCAGAGCAGGGTCGTGTGGGGAAGCTTTGCCACCTGTGCACTTTCTGGTAGGTCAGCCTGCCTTCAGGCTTTTCCGTTTTCTGTGTGACCTTAGGAAGTTATTTAACTTATCTGTGCTTTAGTTTTCTCATCTGTCAAACAGCAATAATAGTACCCTCATCTGGGTCCTTACAAGAATTAAATGAGCTAATAATAGTATCCTCCTCTGGGCTCTAATAAGAATTAAATGAGCTAAACACGAAGTGCTTAGAATAATACCTGGACACAGAGTAAGCACTCAATAAACTAATCAACTAAATAGTAATATTATTGCATGCTCTAGGGACATGGAAGGAGTGATACATATGACCAGACTCTGTCAGGGAAGGTATCCAGAGGATTGGACATCCAAGCTGAACCTTGAAGGGTAAATAGGAGTTCTCCAAGCAAGGAAGAAATTGCCCAATATTGTGATTATTTATCATCATCATCATAATATAGCTAACATTCATGTGCCAGGTACTATACTAAGCCCTTTACCTATATTACTTCATATAATCCTCACAACAACTGTAGGAAGTGTGTATTATTATCTCTCTTTTACAGGTAAAGAAACTGAGGCTCAGAGAGGTAAGGTAACTTGCCCAAAGTCTCACAGCTAGTAAGACACAGAGGTAGAATTTGAACCCATGCAGTCACCTGTAGTCACTACACTCCATAGCTGGATGTCTGTCTGGATTAGGCATTTTTAACGTGGTGGCCAGGGGCTATGGTCCCATATTTTTCTGGGAAGAAGGACCTTGGTTTTCTTCATGATTTCCTAAACAGCAGTCCTTGACCCCACAAATTAAGAACCACTACTCGAGCCTGGGTGGCTTGAAAAGTGCTGGCTAGCAGAAATCCCACAGAACTGCTACCATCTCACCATGTGATCACACAGCCCTCAGTTATGTCTGTCAGATGAAGTTCAAAGATCCTATTCCCACAGGCCCTCCCCTCTCTTACCCCCTATTCCTAAGCTGCTGTTCAAGGGCAGCATCCCTGGCTAGGAGGAGGAAGATCAGGTTGCCTGGCCCCAGGAAGACAGCGGGTCAGTGGGAGGGGATGAGGGAGGAAGGGAGCTATCAGACACCAGGAGCCCTTAAAGATGAGCACTAAGGGTTGGACCAGGACTCAAGCCCCCAATCAGTCCTTCCCTGGGTAAAGATGAGAAAGGAGACCCCCGGCTCCATGGAGACACCAAGGAGGTGGCTGTAGATCTGCCCCCCTCCCCTCCTCAGCCTACCTCAGGACTAGATCTGGGCTAGGGGCTGCTGGTCAGACGCCCTGAATGTCCCTAAAGCTTAGCCCTCCACATCTTTCCCCTGAAGATCAACAGTTTTGCTGCTGAGCCCCTTATCACCTTCCTCTAGGGAGGTTTCCACACTTCCTATAGAACTCCAGGGGGGGCATGTCCACATTCTACTCTGACTGCTAACCTACCCCGGGTATTTCTGTGCCTGTTGCTACCTCTCCCATTCCCTGGGAATGTTTTCACATTTGCCACAAAATCACCTAACCTGCATACCCTGACAATATTCCCACATTTGCAGACCCACAGTGGACTCCAGAAGGAAGTGCTCCCTGGGTGCTGGTGGGAGATCTACAGGGATTATGAAAGGTTGGGCCACCCCTAACTAGTGCCTGCCCGGCACAAGCCATATATCCCAACCCGTCTGTAGCCACAGGAGTTAGTGACTCAGTTACCAAAAATCCAGAAAGTTTGGCCCCTCCTGAAGGAAGGGAAGTTTGGGGCCTTGATGAGGCACACCCTCCTTCCAAGGACCTACTACTTCATTAGAGAAGATGAAAGGGAAGTGAAGAGCTGTTTCAGGACCAACATGTTCACCCAGCCCATTTTACAACCTGCAGGTCAGAGGATATAAGTCTGTCCAAAGCCAGCTAGTTGGTGGCAGAGCAGACCTAGCCCCAGGTCACTGAGCATCCAGTCGAGAGTGTACACAGTAGGGAAATCCTCAGCAAACAATCCCCCAAAATATAATGATGCAGGGGAGATAGGGAGGCCAGACAGGAGTCAGACCTTGATCGAGTTACTGCCCCCCTCAGAGTCCCTCTGCCCACCCCTTTTATAAAGAGTCTGGGGTTCCTGGCCCCAAGATTCATTCTGTGTACCAAGCCTCTCTGGGCCTCCTCAAATTATAGACAGATTGAGGTAAGGGAGGCTCAGGGAAGGGAAGCTCCCTGCCCGAGGTCACACAGCAAGTCAGTGACAGGGCCAGGAATAACAGCAGCACCAGCCAGCCAGCACCTGCCCCCTCACATGACCACTGGGGGAGCCTCTCAGATTTTCTTTCCCAGCCCTGCCAGCTTCCTGATTCTCACATTCCCAGCTCTGCTCCAGGGAGAACCATTCCCTTTAATAACTACAGCAGCTGTGCCCGGAATAGCACTTGAGCCCCAAGCCACCTCTACCCCAGCCCATCATTGAGCAAAGCCCAGGTTGGGATGGGGTTCCTGGTCCAGCCTCCAGGCCCATTGACTTGGAAAGTCAGAAGCTCTCTTTCTCCTACCTCTTCTCTGGCCCCTCTCTGTGAGCAGAGAGAGGGGCAGCACAAGCCTTGTAATCACCAGCACTTGGCCAGGTCAGTCCTTCCTAGCTGACAACTCTGGGAGTTGGGGAGGTGATGAAGGGCCAAACAGAGGAAACTCGTACCTCCCACCCCACTCCTACATCAGCCCTGGAGACACCCTGATGCAGCCATGACTCACCTTCCTGTGGTCAAAACAGCTGGGAAGCAGCAATTTTATTGGGCTCTAGGACTCCAGGGTACAGAGAGTCAGGGCCACAAAAGGGGACCCAATCTCCAGAGACCTCCTGGAAAAAGATCCAGGAGTGAGGAGACCTACCAGCCCTATCAAATTTGGATGGTGTTGAGCCTAAGGTAGAGTCTCCAATGGAAGGAGGATGTGTAACTTGTTACTAGTATTGAGCTCCTACTAGGTATGTGCCCGTGCCTAATGTGTCTGTCACTCACTCAGTAGTCATGACTCTAATTGGCTGCATGAGCTCAAGTAAGCCACTTCTCCTCCCTTGGCCTCAGTTTCCCCTTCCGTGAAATGAGGTCTAAGATCCCTGTTTTGGGGTTGGGAGTGATGTTAGCTAAGGCACTGCACACATGCCAGGGATTAGGAGGATGTTATTATGTTAGTCCCGGGGGTGCAGAGCCTGGAGCCGGAGGGAGGGGATTCCACCATCTGGCGCTGCCCCAACACCCTGGAGTTGGAGATACAAGCTGCCTCTGAACTCCTGACAACCCTCCCAACCTAGATCCAGCAGGGCCGTCCGAACCCCTCTCAAGTTGGCAAGGAGAAAATAGGGGATCAGAGGCCCGGCGCAGCCCCTGAACTAGCCCAGCAAACTGCCGAGGCCCCTCGGGTCCCGCTGCTTTTCAGCGTCCCTCACCCACGGGCCCAGCCCGGACCCAGCGCCCACCGGGTCACTGGAGGACAAGCGACCCGAGCGGGGAGGGGGGCGGGGGGGGCGGTGCCGGCCTTGGTGACGTCTCAATGTCATATGCAAATAGGGAGACGTCATGGTCTACCGGCGTGCGGCAGCCAATCGGGAGACCCGAATGCAGCCTCGGCGGCCGCCGGCAAAAACAGACAAAGACCCGGGAGCAGGGGGCGCGGGGCGTGTCCCGGGGCGCGGGGAGCCCCCTGGCCGGACCTGCTCCAGACTCACCTGGGGGCGAGGGCGGTGCTGTGGACGCGGTGGCGCTGAGGTAGTTGTGCGGCGGAGCGTCCCAGGGTCGGCGGCTGATCACAGGCCGGGGCGCATCGCGGGGGCTGGGCGGAGAGGCGGCAGGGCTACGGGCCGGACGCTGCCGGCTGCTGCGCTCGCCCGCGGGGCTTTGAGTCTGTGCAGCGGCTGCTGGGCTCACGGCACAAATTGGAACGTTCAAACAGCTGATTGTGACGTCACAAAGGGGCCCGCCCGCCTCGCGTCACCGGCCGGCGGAGCGGCGGCCAATCCCAGGCTGCGGATCCCCCCTCCCTGCCCCCTCCACGGTTCGCTGGCTAGTGGCTCCTGCCCGGGAGCCCAGCTCCGAGCCTCCGGGGGCCGCCCCGAAAGGTGACTGCTGGGAGCTTGTACCCCCTGCCCCGGGCGACCCACAGACCTCTCAGTGAAAAGAGTCCTCACTCCTTCCTACGGGATCCCCATCTTCCTGCATTCCCTTCACATATCCCAGCGCCCTCACCTCTCCCACTCCCTCCATATCTTTTCACCTGCATCCTGTATCCAAATCCCCCAATCTGTACCCGCTTCTCAACTCCACACCACGTCCCGGCACCTCCATTCTCCCCACCACCTTTCTCCTTGCTCTCCCTCGCTTTTCTCTCTCATCTCCACCCCAACACATTTTCTGCTTTCCCACCTCATTTTTCCTCAGCTGGGCAGGCTTGAAAGGTGAGCGACATGCCTCTTTTCTGGTTCCGGAGGAGCACTCGGGAGTGTAGAAGAGTTGGTTAGGCTGACGGGAAATTTTGCAGAGTAGGACTTGGAGAGGAATTGCTCTGGGCTGAATAAACATTGACCTAGAGACTGTTCTGTACGGGAATATTTACACACCTTATTTAATCCACGTTGCTACTGGGGCTGGACAGAAGAGTGACAGGACAGGGATTATTAGTCCCGATTTTCACACGGGGAAACTGAGGCTCACAAATCTCACTGTTAGTATGGTGATTCCTATTCAATAATGCATTTAACAAACATTTATTGAGTACCTACTGCTGCCGCTGCCAGCCCACTAGCGGACACTTATTGAACAATTACTGAGTCCCAGGCACTGTGCTATAGTGCTTTATATGTGTTTTGATCTTCACAACAACCCCAAAAGGTGAATATTATCCCCATTTTCCAGTTGAGGAAACAGACTCAGAGAGCCTAAGTGACTTCCTAATGTCACAAAGTTGTAGTAAATGGCAGAGCCAGGATTTGAACTCAGTTCCTGGCCCCAGCCCTCTCCACTCTCTACATGCACCAGACTGCCTAAACCCCAGAGTGCTCCAGCCTCCCCAGGGAGACCTGGGCTCAGTCCTGACTGCCCCAAACTTGCTGTGTGATCTCAAGGAAGTCATGTTACCTTTCTGAGCCCCAATTCCCTTATCGTCAAACTTAACATAGCCAAGCTTCCTTCTGGAGATTCTTTCAAACACTCCACCCTCAGGATTCTGCCAATCACATGTCCTAAGCCCCCAGCTCTCCCAGTGGCCTGGGAAATGCCTGGGGAGAGACCACAAATATACATCCTCAGAATCTCTAGGGCCAGAGGTTCTGAGTCCTCTCTCAGTAGAGCAGGACTGGTGAGGGTGGGTCTGAGAGCTGCCCATCTGGCCCAACAGGAGGCAGGCGGTGAGCTAGGCCAGAGCTTCATGCTCTGGTGATAAAATCCTGTCCCAGCCTAGTTTGAAACCCCAGAGGGACTCCTCAGCCCTAGCAACCAGGAGAAGGAGCCAGGAATACCCAGAGGCTGCTGGGGGAGGAGAGAGCAGTGTTTTGGCCTTTGGAGTGGTGTCCCCAAAGTGTCCTCATTCCAGGCAACCCTGAGCCTCTGCCCATCACATCTACTTCCTGCTAACCTCATACCCTCTCTTGACTTCCTTGCTGACTTAAACTAAATAATCATTAACACACCTTTCCTGTCACACCACTTGCCTGCTCTAAAACTTTCTGTGGCTCCCAAAGTACCACACTCCTCACACAGCATTCATGGCCTTCTATGATCCAGCCCCAGTTCTCTCCAGCTTCATCTCCCTTCTTCTCCAACATGTGCCTTGTGTTAAGGTCAAACTCCTCTTTGTCTCTTCAACACTCTCCCACATCCACCCCTGCCTGGTATGCCCTTTTCAGGCCTTTCTGAATTCAGATCTTTCCTGTCTTCAAGATTCTACTCACCCCTTCTTCTAGGTAGCCTTCCTTGTCCCCACCCATGTGTCCAGAGCTACCTTGATAGACAGTCATTTATTTGTTCAATAAACAGTAAGTGAAGATGACTAATTGTGGGTGTGTATGTGTCTTACCAAGTGGATGATTGGCATCCCATGGGCAGAATCTTTGTCCACATACTCCCCCACCCAGCCTGCGCTGGGCCTGGCACAGAGTAGACTCCAATCAGATCAGCAGTTAGCGCTCCAGAAGAGTGGCTGGTACAGGAGTTGACACCTGGACCTTCTATCCTGGTACAGGACGCATTTTGTTGGGCATAGGTTTCTGGTTCCCCGAGCCCAGGGAAGGGGGCTCCTGACATACACTCTGATACCCTAAACAACCTGGATTCTGCTCCCAGCCTTAGCTGAACCCCATGTACAGACTGCTAGGTCAGATCCCAGTCTTCCATTTCTCTGAAGAGTCAGGGGTACCCATGGAAGTTGGGGGCTGGAGCCCAGTAGAATCCCTTCCTGAAACCCCTGGGACCCATCCCTCCTCACTACAGAGATTTATTATCAGGGCTGGAGGAAACCTCAGCTCTCAATTCATCCAAACTCCTCATTTTATAGGTGGAGAAACTGAGGCACACTAAGGCACACAGAGCCCAAGGTACTTGCTTAGAATTATAGAGCAGCAGAGCCATCCACTGACCCTGGCCCGGGGGAGTGGGCTTAGTATTCTGGGACCCTGGCTTGGGCCTGGAGGCTGTAAAAAGGGGCAGTGGGCACCAGGCTGGGAGTAATCCTGGAGTCTCATTTCCAATCAGACATAGGGTGCCACTCCTGTGTACATACATGGATATGCATATGCATGGGCATCTATGTATACACATGAAGGCATCCATGTACAGATATACACACATGTGCACATGAGCTCACATCCACGGGGTTAACCCATCCAATCCCTGCCCAGATGTAAGCACTTGCTCAATTTTATGGGCCCCAGGTTTGAGGTCAAGAGGTCACCCTTCTATTCACCACTAAACCCTGGGGGCTTCCTAATGGCTTGGGGCCCCCCATTTCCAAGGGCAAAGATGTGTCAGCCTGGGTGTGTCCCTCACAGGACCTTGCGTGTACTCGAAGGTATGAGCCTGCTGGAGAACTGTCTCACCACTCCCCTCTCCCCCCTTACTCCCTAAGCTAGAAGGCAAGGCTGAGAGAAAGCCAGTGGGTAGCTTGGAATCTGAGTCAAAACCAGCAAGCTCTGATCACTCTAGAAGCAGAGCTCTCCCCCTACCAGCCCCAGATCTACAGAGTTAAACAAATAATACTAATGATGAGATCATTGAGATTTCTATGTGCCAGGTACAATTCTAAGTCCTTACTTGTGTTGATGACTCATTTAATCTTCACAATAATCCCCTAATGTAGGTAATATTCTTCTCATTTTACTGATGAAGAAACTGAGACAGAGAGGGGAAGAAATTTAACTGGTAAAGCCAGCTAGGGCAGACATAATCCCCAAATTCCCTCAACAGATAGGCCTAGACCTTAACAAGGGGCCATATGCCCTGAACTCCTACTCAAAAAGATTTGTTGTTCAAGCCAGAGATGTCTGAATTGAGGGTAACTGTGGTGTGTGTGTGTGTGTGTGTGTGTGTGTGTGTGTGTACATACACACCATGAAAAAGACCCTGGTCTGATTCAGTAAATCCAGATTTCAACCCTGGTTCTATCAATCCTGGCCTCACTGCCTGGCCCTGGGCAAGTCACTTTCTTTGTCTGAACCTCAGTTTCCCCATCTGCAAAATGGCTGGCTCCACACTCCCTAAATAGTACCTCCAGTCCCAATCTCCAGGCATCCAAGTTTGTTTGTGTGAACTGTGCTTAATGCCCCTGACAAGGAGGAGGTGATGGTCAGGACAGGATTCATTTCAAGAA